ATTGTAAAGTTATAGAGTAATTGTAGAATTCGTTCATGAGTATTGGTCGTGCACACTTTTCGTTCCCAAGTTATAATTGGTGTTGCACTTTTCGTCCTTTTGTGCTCACTTTTTGTCATTAAGTTATACTAAAATTGAAATTTCGTTCCTAATGCTTTATTAGTAAAGTGACGAAAAGTGTAATGCCGCCAATGATAACTTAGGGACAAAAAGTGAGTATGACCTACAATTAAGAACTAATTCTACAATAACCCTATAACTTAGAGACGGAAATTGTCTCTGATGGATACCCGAAATTTGGGCCCAATTGGACCGCCTAGCCCCGATTGGCCCATCTAGTCCAATTGGACCATCTATCCCAATTGGCCCACCTAAGAACTAGCCGTTAGTCCATATTAAATCCTATTAAACATCCTATTAAAGCCCATTTATCTACCTTATCCATAACCCTCCCAAATAAAGGCTACCTATTAAGTCTCCCACTTATTACCCCACTAATAACCAAGTTAATACCTATTAACTACCCTACTAAATGGTCCAACGGACACTTTTGGGATGAGCTAGCTATAAAAGGAGGAGAAAACAAGAAGAAATGGGGACCACTCATCTATACACATGGGAGGACTCTTCCACACCATTCCATCACTCTTCTTTCTATTATTCTTGCTATATTATTAGAAGCACAACACTTTGTATAGAGAATAGCCCTACAAGTATGTACAAAAGACACCTACAAAATGCATAGTGGAATTAGGCTTGGCACCGCCCAAAAAGGCCCGTGGTTTTCCTTTCGGTTTCCACGTCAAAATCATCGAGCTCATATAATTTTAGCAAGCTTTATTGAAAGGTGTATCCTCCAACTAAAGGTTGTGTTGGACCTCCTTGGACCCAAAAACCCTAAAACCATCAGTCTCTTTATTTTTTTTTTTTTTTGAAAATCATCAGTCTCTTTATTTAATTAGGCACAAATTGATAGTTGCGTAATTAAATGATGCACAAAATAAAGAAAATTTGGATTTGAGTTTCAATTCAATGTTGCCTAGCTACTTTTCATTATAAATCAATAGAGTAACTAGTAATATAGCAAAGATCAGAGAAGTTTACCTCTGAAAATAAGCACCCAGAAAAACAAAATCTCACAAGGTAAACCTGCAACATAAAAACATCATTAAAAAAAAGAAAGATAGAAACCATGATAATAATAATAAAATAATAATAATAATAATAATAATAATAATAATAATAATAATAATAATAATAATAATAATAATAATAATAATAATAATATCCATCAAAAAATCTGTTAAATTTTGCAGAACTGAAATTACAATTCAAAATGTACAGAGGCTACGGGTATTGTAATTTGGATAACGTTGATGGATTTCCAATCCCTAGTAGTATGAGTATGGCTACCGAAAATGGGTTGAGATCAGAGGGGTTTGGAAATGAACTCACCATTACTTTGCGGCTACAAGAAGAAGAGAAGAATTGAAATTCCATAGCCGAGGGCTTATATAGGAGAGAACCTCGAATTGTCCGTTCAAATTTGAATATTGAAATGATCGGAAGTAGGATATTATTGTGACTATAATTTATTGGAGAGAATCTCCGCCTAATATAATAATGCATCAATTGGTCAAATAGCATGTTCCATTGACTACTACAATTTTAATAGGTTTTTAAAATTAAAATAAAATAAAAACAAACCTTTCGTATGAGTATGCTTAGAAAAGTTTATTTATTAAGACGTACGTTGACTACGTTCCATTATATAAACTAATTTTATCCTCACCAAAATATATATATATATATATATATATATATATATATATATATATATATATATATATATATATATATATATAAACTATTTTTATGAGTTAAATCATCTGAGGTGCTTTGTGTATGGTGATTTCGTTATGTTTAGTTGAATTTCAACTCGTTATATGGTTCTTCCGTTACTTTTAGCAGTTTAGACCGTGAAAAATAAGGGCAAAACCATCTTTTAATATTGTTTATCCCATTATAAGGCTAAAAATCACCATTTTAGATTTCTTCTTCTTCTTCTCCAAGAAATACATTCCTTCTTCTTCTCCTTCTTTTCAAAACTCTAATTAATTCTAAAATGGTGATGTTTAGCCTTATAATTGGATAAACAATGTTAAAAGACGGTTTTACCCTTATTTTTCAAGGTCTAAATTGCTGAAAGTAACGGTAGAATCAGGGTGGGTTGAATTTCGAAAGTTAGAGAATCACCGATGATCAATTTGAAAATTTAGAATTAAATATGATAAAATCACTATACTCGAAGAACCTCAGATGACATTAACTCAAAACGACGTCGTGTTGTTAAGTTAAAAAAAATTCTCCGTTTCGAATGCACATAAACTCATAACAGAATATACATAAGCTCATAACAGAATATACATAAGCTCATAACAGAATACACATAATCTAACATAATACATAATACACATAAACTTTTAACTGAATACACATAATGGTGTTTGGTTAACATAATACACATAAACTCTTAACTGAATATACATAAACTCATAACACAATACACATAAACTTTTAACTGAATACACATAATGAGATTTGATTAACATAATGTACATAAACTCTTAGCTGAATACACATAAACTCATAACACAATACACATAAACTTTTGACTAAATACACATAACGAAGTTTGGTCTGTTTAGACGGATGAAGTAACGTCAACAAAAAATGCGCGCGTTTTGTGCCTGGGCGGACATTGCATTGTGCGCCCTGGTGCACGGTATAATTTGCCTAACAACCGCAAGCATCAATAAGACGCACAACGGCCCAAACATGATGACACCTCGGCCCACCTTCCTTCCAAATTTGTTCGCAAATTATATCGTGCACCGTGGTGCATGATCGATCATGCATCGCGCATTAAAACGGCGTCGTTTTGTTTAATGAAAAGAAACAGAATCTTTGCGAAAAATAACTCTGTTCTTCAGTTTCATTTTGTATACACTGCAGTTTCAGTTCAACACAACTACAGTTTCATTTCGATATAACTATAGTTTCATTCAATATTTATACACTAAATATGTGAAAATGTTATTTAATTTAATTTTATATACATTATAGTTTCATTAAAATACAACTACATGATCATTTCAATATAATTAGTAATTACACCTTCATTGTACAATATACACTCAAATATGTGAAATGTTATTCAATTTCATTTTATATATACTATAGTTTCATTTCACCACAACTACAGTATCATTTTGATATAACTGCAGTTTCATTTGATAATATAAAAATAATACGTGAGACAGTGTCGGTTTAGACACACTGTAGTGTCACTCCATTATAACTGCAGAAACGGCATCGTTTTAACGCGCGGTGCATAGAGGTGCACGATATAATTTGCGAACAAATTTGGAAGGAAGGTCGGCTGAGGTGCTTCAAAAAAGTAAGTATGAAAATAAAAACTCACTATCTCAAAGCCCTTCTTCCAGTAGTTTGAGTTTTCAAAAGGTTCTTCACACCGACCAATCGATAAAAATTATATTTTGATATTTATTTATTTATTATCATTTTAAATTTATAATTGCAATTAAAAATAATTATTACATTAAACATACCAAAATTTAATTTATTTGCTAATTATAAAATTTCAATTAAAATAATATTTGGTTAAAATTAAAACCTACTACAAAGTTTTTTTTTAAAAAAAGTACAAATGCATAAAAAATCATTAGTGTAATTTTTTAATTTTAAAAACTAAAAACCTAAGTCTTAGTTTAAATATATATATATATATATATATATATATATATATATATATATATATATATATGATCGCGTTCATGTACGAATTGCACACTCAGGAGAGAACTAAGAACCATTCAGCACGCGCCACGTGTCCAGATCTAGGTGCACCTATAGTTATAACTAGGTGCATCTAGGTCCATGAATGTTTGCAGGTGGTTTTTACGGGTACTAACTACCCGCTGAACTTCTCCGCAAGAACAAAAGCGATGCCAAACAAAACGAACTCAGATTAATGAATGTTAACAAGACAAAATTACATGCACTTGTAAGTAATTTTACTTGCACTTTTTACTTGCAAAGGTGCACTGACTACTTGCACATATAACACATTAAATGCACCAAATGACACGTGATGCGCGCTAGATGGTTCTCAGTTCTCTCCTGGGCAGCCGTTCGCATGAGAGTGCGCCCATATATATATATATATATATACATACATACATACATACATACATATACGCACACGCACACACTAAGGATCCTGTGAAAACAGTACCATAGGAGAGAAATAAGAATCAATCTCAACCTTACATGTGTAAAAATTTGACGGATCCGATCAAATAAAAAAATACGGTGAAATTTTCATAATTATCATCAACTTCACTATGCAAACTTGAACACTTAAATATGCAATCTTTAACAACTAAATATGCAAACCTGGTAAATTTATAAAATCAACAAAAAAGTTAAATTGTATTGTAAATCTAAACCATAAATGCTAGGCCTTAAGCAGTAAAAAGTGAACAACGGCCTTAAGCAGTAAAAAGTGAACAACTAAACCAAATAAAATAAAAAAAAAACTCAGTCATAAACTCTAAAATCGGAACCTTAAGTGCAATGCACTTTCGCATTTTTGTAAGTGCAATCTTTTAATACTAAATATGCAAAATGTTAATACTAAATGTGCAAAACGTTAATACTAATGTGCAAACTTGGAAAAGTCTAAGATTTGACGATTTTATTGTTCAAGTTTGCTTAGTAAAGTTGGTGATAATTAAAAAAATGTCACTACATTTTTTTTTAAAAAAAAAATTGATCTGATCCATTCAATTTTTTTAAAAATGTAAAGCTGAAATTGATTCTTATTTCTCTCCCAAGGACTTGTTTTCATTTGATTCAATATATATAAAAACTATTATAATTATTCAGGCACGGTGAAGGATATCCCCATCCCCATCCCTATCTCTATCTCCGTTCTTGATGGGGGATTACATATATTCTTTGTTGTCGTCTCATTTTCCGAAATTTTTCCTATTTCCGTTCCCATTGAGGTGGAGTTCGGGGATTCTTTAGAGGACGGAACAAATTGCTATCCCTATCTGTTGGGTTAACCGTCTAACATCTACTAAATTTGAGGATAGTGTTGGAATTTTACTTTGCTCCACGGGCTGCCCAGGCTCCCCACACATTTTGTAATTAGAGGGAAAGATTTGGTACGAGACTAGCAGACTAAAACATCCCTAATTCCCAATTTGCTTTAACCTAAATAGCGACCAGTTGGTTCAAGAGGCCTGCGCTGTAACCTAATAAGAGAAAGGCTCACCAGCAAGATGCAAGGTGTGACTGGTTCGAGGGGCACGCTTCGAAGTGGTAACTGGTAAGTCGATTTGCAATTCCTTTTTGTATAAATTGTAAAGAAGATGCGTGGTATGCGTTTGGTACACTGATAATGCTCAAATTATTGGGTTTAGGGTTAGATAATATTCAGATTTTTTGTTGTAATGCTCAGATTATTGGGTAATGGGTAGGATAATGTACTAGCCAATGCATTTGTTGTTGCTGGTGTGTTATAATGTGAGTTTTTGTCATTTGTATCATACTGTCTTTATGTATATGAATATGTGTGTACATTGTTATGGATTTAGTATTGTCTTTAGCTTTAAACACATGGGGACCACCATTTACTTGAAATACATTTACTTGAAATCCCTGCTTATGTATTTGTGTAATGGAGACCATTTTGTTGTCAAACTGAGTAGCTATAAACACATGGGGACCACCATTTACTGGAAATGCAAGCTGTAACTTTTCTCCTTTTATTTTTTAAGTAATTAAAGTTTTATCTTATATACTATTTAAATCAGGTGGTCAGGATAATAGAACTTTCAAGCTTAAATTAAGGTATTGTAGCTGGATAAATCTAGGTAACCCACCTAAGTGTGTTGGAGGCAGTGTTAAGTGGATTTCTGACATAGATTATGATGAGTGGGGGATAACGACTTTATGGGGAAAAGTTGAACAATTGGGATATAAGAAAGATGAATATAGGTGTTTTGTTAAGAGTGATATTGATTTGACTAAGTTAGTATTAGATTTGGAGGCTTGGAACTTGGTGAACTCTATTTTGAGACCTAAGGTACTGGAGATTTGGGTTATTGTAAGGGTGGATGGAGAATATGAGAGTGTTGAAGAAGAATATCAGAGTGTAGAGGAAGAAAATGACAGTGCAGAATATTTAGAAGATGAGTTAGAGAATTTTGAAGGAAGTGCTTATGAAATTTATCAAGGCCAAGTTGATGATCAAGAGTTCTTGAAATATACAGATCCAGAAGTTGAGTACGTAGGTGATGCAAATCTTGAAGAGGGTCAACCTCAAAATGTAGAACATAGGCCTACAAACAATGAGGTGAATTTCTCTGATGATGATGGAGGGATTGAACAAAATTTGGGTGAATCTGTTAGGCCTATTCCTCGGCTTGATTTGCCATCTCCTTTCTGGCTTGGTAGATCTTTTTGATGTGAAGAGGATTTCAAAGATGTAGTGATGACATATGCTATACAGTTTGGAAAAGAGCTGAAGCTTAAGAAGAATGATAAGATAAGGTGTGCAGTTGTATGTACCCAAATTGATTGTAAGTGGCAAGCAATTTGTAGAAAATATGTTGATGAAGCCTTGTGGAGGGTGACTGTTTTGAATGATGTGCATGCTAATTGTCCATGAGTGAATAAGAACAAGTTCATAACTTCATCAGTAGTTGCAAAGAGATGGTAAACACAAATTGGTGGACATAGTAATTGGAAGATGAGTGAATTTAAAGAGAAAGTGTGTACAGATGAACACCATTCCCTAAGTGAAAGGTAAGCCTACAGGCATTGGATTTTGCTAAGCGTGAAATGAAGGGTGAGCTTGAAAGAGAGAATAAAGATTCTTGGTGTTGGTTTTTTGAACTGTTGTGTAGGGACCTTGTGATTGACTATGTGTCTCGGCAGCAATACACCTTCATGTCTGACAAATAGAAGGGGCTTATCCATGCATTTGAGCAAGTGCTGCCTATGGTTAGTCATATGTTTTGTGTTAGGCATTTGCATAGTAATATGAAGGTGGCTGGTTTGGAGGATTTCCAATTAGAGATGCCCTATGGAAGGCAACTAGGGCCACAACTGTTAGTACATTTTCAAAAGCTATGAGGGAGTTAAAGGCAATAGATGTTCAAGCTTTTGAATGGTTGGCTAATAAGCATCCTTCAGAGTGGTCTAGATCCTATTTCTCCACAAATGCTAATTGTGATGTGGTTGTGAATAATATCTGTGAAAGCTTCAATGCTATGATAGTATGATTTTGGATGCAAGAGACAACCCAATAATACACTGGCTTGAGATTGTGAGCAAACAAGTAATGCTCAGGTTATTTGAGTGTAGAAAGCAGGCAAGTAAGTGGACAGGAAAAATATGTCCAACAATAGCAAAGAAAATATATGTTTTTGAGAAACAAGCAGAAGGCTATTAGGCATACCAAAGTACTGATGTTTTGTTTGAAGTTAAGGGAACCACTGACCAACACCAAGTAGACATTGGAGCTAGGACATGTTCCTGTAGGAAGTGGGATCTCACCGGTATACCCTACAGGCATGCCATTTTTGCTCTTTGGGTGAAATTTAGAAAGGCTCCACTACATGACTATGTGGATGCTTGCTACACAATTGAGAATTATAAGAAAGCATACTCAAGCTGCATTCACCCTATGGTTGGGCTTCATGAATGGCCACACACTGATAGAGAGCCCTCACTACCTCCTTTGTTCACTACTAAGGTTGGCAGACCAAGAAAACTCATGAAGAAATCTGCAGGTGAACTAACCAAAGATGAAATTCATATATCAAGAAGGACAATGACTCTTCATTACCCAATCTACAAGCTTATAGGTCATAACAGTACGAGATGTCCTCAGGTAAATAACATACTATTTTGTATAAAATTAAATTACGTTTGTTTTACATAGTCTTTTTTAACTAATTAACATGAAATCTAAGCAGAGAAAAAATATGGCAGTAGCAAATGGTGAAATTGCAGCAAATATGGCAGCAGCACCTGCTGAAGTTCCAGTCAATGTTGTAGCAGCACCTGATGAAATTCCGATCAATGTTGTAGCATCACTTGATGAAAACCTAGTCAATGTGGCAGAATTAAAATCACTTCCAGCAAAAGATACACAAGGTAACTTTCCAAATTGTAGTTGATCCTTTAATAAGTTTTGAAAATCCTATATTGTAGTTGATCCTTTTTTAACTTTAGAAACTCCTATATTGTAGTTGATCCTTTATTAAGGAGTTAATACCCATTTTGGTCCCTCGACTATTACGTAATGCTTAATTTAGTCTTGGACTTTTAAAAGTACCCAATTTAGTCCTTTAACTTTTAAAACGGTACTCAATTTGGTCCTCCGTTACAAATTTCATCCAACCACCGTTAAAGTGAGGGGCAAAAATGTCATTTGAATGCATAAAACACGTTTCTTCCCAACTCCAACGGATTAGTTGGCAGAACTTAACTCTAAACAATGAGCGGCCCTTTGGAAACTGGGAGATCCATTGTCGGAGGTGGCCCCCATTTCCGACTCATCAATGGGGAAGATTGAAACTATGCGCTGTTGGCTGATAGGCACTGATTTGTCTTGACTGAAATGGACGCATACTTTTCAATACTAATAGTAAAGCTTTGGGCCCTTAAGCAATTCATTAATGATGTTATTGAGTGTAGTGGTTAATTATGGATGAGAGAAAGAAGCACTTTGTACTGGTTCACAGAGCTTGCTATGGTGCATGGTGCTGGTATAAGGTGGCGACGCTGCTTAGAGCGGAGGGTCACAAAGTAAGCACCCTCGACATGGCGACCTCGGGGATTCATCCCAAACTAGCAGAACAAGTGAGTTCCGTGGCGGAATACAATGAACCCTTGACGGAATTCATGGATGCGTTGCCGGCGGATGAGAAGGTGGTTCTGGTAGGCCATAGCATAGGTGGGGTTAACATATCACTATGGAGAGTTTCCCTAGCTCACAAGATATCTGTTGCTGTGTTTGTCACTACTTCAATGTATGGCCATGATCTAAGCTTTCTTGCTGTGAAACAAGAGGTATATATACATAATACATACATCATATATCTTCTTCTCTTTTTAATTAATACTTTGCAAGAACAAAATTAATGGTGTTGGTTTACTGGTGATCAATATCGTATACAGTTCCATCAACAACTGGAATCTTACATGGACCAAAAACTTGAGTACAGCAAGGGAGAAGACAAGGAAGACCGCCTGGTCTGATCTCGATCATCTTTAAGTCACCGGCGGCCGCTCACTCTCCGACGACCAGTTGTCATCACTTCGACCCACCACCGAAAACCCAAACATCTTGTTCCCGCTGCCTCTCTTTCACTGGTCTTCCTCAGCCTGTGATGAAACATCCTCAACCACCAACGCCGCCAACGAGCTAGAATTCGACACGGATCCAACCCCTTTCCCAGTCTGTTGGAGTTACGTTTCTTAGAGGGAGAGACGTGTTTTAGAAATTAAAATGACATTTTTGCCCTCACTTTAACGGTGGATGAATGACAATTGTAACGGAGGACCAAATTGAGTGTGATTTTAAAAGTTAGAGGACTAAATTGGGTACTTTTAAAAGTCCAGGACTAAATTAAGCATTACGTAATAGTCGAGGGACCAAAATGGGTATTAACTCTTTATTAAGTGTAGGAGACAATATTCAAACAATTGGTGATGATGTAAATTCCCAAATGATAGGTAAGTGTTTAATTTGTAATTAGGGTTCATGTATTTGTTTACAAAACTTGTTGATTATTTAATTCCAACACATGTTATTCATGTTCAGATGTAGGACTACATGGAATACAAGGTGAAGGAATGAAAATTACTTCCCATGTAGTGAAGATAAATTTTGGCCGACCTCTAAAACGAAGAAAAACCATAGCTCATGCTAGCAAAGGCAAACAAGTTGATGAATATGCTCCTCCATCCAATGCAAAAACACATAAGTCATTGGGAATGACCAAAACAAACACTGCTAAGGGCCGGAAGTACATGATGAGATCTAGTACGATGCTTAGGTCCAAATACTGTTTAAATGAAAAAACCCCAATTGATATAGATTAGGTTGTCTATTTTAAGTGCTATTAGATGTATGGATACAAGTCTTTTGGAAACAATTATGATATATGGATGATAGTCTTTTGGAAACTTTTTTTACCAATGTGTATAGATGACAGTTTTATGTTATCAATTTGAATTCAATGACAGTCTTTTCAAAACAATTTGTCACTTTTATTTACCAATGTGTATGGATGACAGTTTTAAGCTGTTATCTTTTGGATTTGTCACTTTTTTTTTTTTTTTTTTTTTTTTTTTGCCAATGTGTATGGGTGGCAGTTTTATGTTCTCAGCTTGACCAAACACTTTGTTCACCAATTCTACACAGTTTTAGCAAACACTTTGTCACCATGTTCACCTATTCTACACAATGTTCATCACCAGTTCTACATAGTGTTCAAACTGAGCAAATTTAACATGTTAAATTGAACATTCATTCCATTTCAACAATTTCATTCCAATACTTCAAGTTCTACATTTTCACTTTCAACCACCCTAAGGTAAAATAAGCTTTCCAAATCCAACACTACTAGGCTTCAAATTAGTAACAAACACTAACATTGATACAAAAAGAAATAAAATTAAATAACTTCCTGAATTTTACTTATGCCACAACAGACTTTCAACTTTTTCTTTCCCAATCAAATAACTTCCTACCAGACTTTAAATAATATTTATAACATCACAACACTCAAATATTATTAATGTTTTCATGGTAATACATCTGAAAATTAATCATCATTACTATATAAATATTCAACATTATATTCCTCCTTCATTTATATACTAAGGATTAATACTATCTACTATACCAAGTGGCTTGTGGTCCACTGGTATCGGACCACTCCCCTAAGTGGGAGGTGATAGGTTCGAACCTCACTTGAGGCAAGTAGTGTGTATATGTAGGGTATCCTCCTTTCTAATTAAAAAAAAAGAAATACTATACTACTAAGAGCTCAAGAGAGTTAGACATATAATGAGTAGAAAAAATGGCGGTCAACTTCTTAATTTATCCATTAACTTTTCCGTTAATTTCTATTTTTATTTTTTGAAGGTCATCCAAGCGGTTGTATTTATTTATTTTTTTTTTTTTGAAGGTCAACCAAGCGGTTGTATTTATAGATAAATTGAAATAGAGTTAGGTTAATTTCTGTTTTTTTTTTTTTTTTTAAGGTCAACCAAGCGGTTGTATTTATAGATAAATTGAAATAGAGTCAGGTGGGACATCGTCCCAATACATAACCGAAGTAAGATCAAAAGCTGTAGTAGCTAATGTATGTGCTAATAAATTCTGTAATCTAGGAATAAAAAAGACTGAACAGGAAGCAAAAGCAGACATGTTTATTCTGCAACTATCAATAGCGTAGCCAATGTATGATCGAGACGGGATGTCTGGTGCGGATAGGTAACACTGTAGCGTCTGACAATCCGTGTAAAACTGTATAGACTGTTCTCCTCTTACCAGTAGCCATGACAAGGCCTCCTTGCACGCAAACGCCTCGGCCATTAGAGGGGAGAAGCAACTCACGAGGGGCGCATTGAAGGCCGAAATAAAATGCCCATCGACATCCAGGAGGACAGCTCCGACCGTGGCCGAATTTGTCCCATGGTGGTATCCGGCGTCCACGTAACATTTCCTTGGTGATATTGCTGCATCGTGGTAGGCCGGTTTGCGGCGGTGGAGGTAACGCCTGTTCGGCAGAATGGCCGGTAGCTGCGTGGCCAGCGTGTCCTACCGGTGATGGGTGCTCGGCGGTTGCATTGGTGGCTCGTGCAGCGTGATCAGCCGGTTCGTGGGCGGGGGTTTGGTGGTGGACTTTCCGCCATGCATGCATGGTGGTAGTGGTTGTTGCAATCACTTTCTTCGGCATTGGTAGACAGGCATCCCAAACAGCTCCATTTCGTGCTTTCCATATATGATATAAAATTGCAACTGCGTAAATAATTCAATTAGTGTCTAGAACATTCAGGATTGCACTAAACCATTCATGGAAAATATTTGTCATAATATTTGGGAGTGGAAGGTTAGATTGAACCCATATGGAATTTGCATAGTCGCACAAAACCGATGAGTGCATAGTGTCCTCATTCATGACTCCACACATAGCACACATTGGATCAACCTCCACCCTCTTTATAAGCAGATTGTTGCTGGTGGGAAGGATATCACTAATAGCTCTTCATAAAAAGGTTTTCCATTTGGGCGGAACTTTTATTTTTCAAAGTGTGAGCCATTTATCAAATGCCCCATTATTATTCCCATAATCTCCAATTATGCGTCTATAGCCATTTTTGACAGAGTAGCAACCATTAGGATCACCGTGCCAACACCATATATCATCATATTCCAAGGAAATTGGTATCTTCAGGATTTTAGGTATATCACTTGGCTGGAAAATATCAGTGAGTATATGTTGATCTCATGAACCAGTATCCTGGTTAATTAAACCCACAACTTTAGCTCCAGCAAGCTGGGGTGGCATCTCGGTTTGGATCATAGGATCCTGGTCATCCTGAAGCCATGGGTGCTCCCAAATTAAGGTAGATTTTTCATTCCCAATACGCCGTCGTACACCATTACATATTAATCCCTTAGCTGCCATAATACTGCGCCAACAATAACTGAGATTATTTCCTAAACATGCCTCTGTCAAAGTATTAGGATAGTATCTGGCTCTGTAAACACGGGACACCAATGAGTCAGTGTTAGTAAGCAGTCTCCATGTCTGTTTGCCTAACATTGCCAAATTGAATGCTCTCAAATCCTTGAAGCCCAGTCCACCATATTTTTTCAGGATGCATAATCTATCCCATGCTTTCCGAATGCCCTGGTCATTTCCTGATCCCCACCAATAATGATTCATAACTCACTCAATAGTTGTACAGATAGATATCGGTAGTAGAAAAACACTCATTGAAAAGGTAGGCATAGCTTGGGCCACGCTTTTCAATAAGATTTCTTTATCAGCCTGCGACAATAATTTCTTATTCCATGATCCAATTCTCTGCCTGATTTTATCTTTAATATAAGCAAAAGCTGCCTTTTTATTCCTTCCCACAAAGGATGGCAGTCCTAGATATTTCTCAAAATTGGGAGCCTGAGTCACTCCTATGATCTGTGCCACCATATCTTTATCTTTTGGCATGTATTCTTGTTATAGCATATACTTGATTTATGATAATTGACCCGTTGCCTAGACCAGCTCTCATATAAGGATAAACAATTCTTAATTTCAGTGGCTTCCTGCTCATTGGCTTTGAAAAACAGAAGGCTGTCATCTGCAAAAAATAAATGGGAGATAGGAGGAGCATCTCTAGCAACTCTACACCCATTTATTAGTCCTTTACTCTGTGCCTGCTGTAATAACAATGAAAGACCTTCCGCACATATAAACAGGTAAGGGGATAAAGGCTGTCCTTGTCGCAGGCCACAGGTGGGCGTGATTGGATCACTACGTGAGCCATTAATCAGAAAATTATATGATACCGTAGTCACACACATCATAATCAAATCAACCCACTTGTCATCAAAACTCAACGCTAACAACATTCCACGATGAAAAGACTATTCCATACGTTCATATGCTTTGGCCATATCCAGTTTGAGAGCACTCCAACCAACAGCCCCACACTGTTTCCTATTCAAATAATGACCTACCTCAGTTGCTATGAGCATATTATCAGTAATCAATCTATCAAGTATAAAAGCACTTTGGGAATAAGATATAATACCCTGCATCAGGGGCTTCATTCTATGAGTAATCATCTTGGCCATTATTCTATATATTACATTACTCAAAGCTATAAGTCTAAGATCAAACACCACTTCAGGGGAATTTTTCTTTGGGATTAACACCACACCCGTATCATTTAGACCAGAAGGAAAAGATCGGTTATTAAGGCAGTTCACTATGAATGTCGAAATATCACCACCTACTATATCCCAAAAATGCTGATAGAACCATGTGTTCATACCATCTGGGCCAGGCGCTTTATTAGGGAACATTTCAAAGAGTGCATTTTTAACTTCAGCTATCTCAAAGGGTCGTAATAATAACTCCTTTTGAGCATGGGTAACTCGTGGGATCACATCAGGAAACAAATTACTACCATCCACAAGATTACTAGAGCAAAAAATATTATCAAAGTATTCTAAAATAATATTTTTCATAGCATCCACTTCCTTCCACTCCCCATAATCATTCATAAGTCTAAAAAGTGTATTCTTTTTCTTTCGGTGAGAGGCATACTTGTGATAAATTTTGTATTAGCATCAGCATTCTTGAGCTAGTGTTGTTTGGCTCTCTGTCTCCAATAAGCATCGTCTTGGGTTTCCATGCTATGCAGAATCCCCTCCAAGCGTTGGAACTCTGCTAGGGATGTCGGATCAGTGCACCCCCTCAGATGTAATTGTTCCTTCCTTAGGTGCATAATTTTCTCACTAAATTTATGATAGCGATCACCACCCCACCGGGATAACTGATTACCACAATGCGCAATACAATCTTGAACTCCTTCATTCCTTCCTTCCTCCCATGATTGTTCCACAACATTTCTAGATCCCTCATCATATAGTCATGCTATCTCAAATCGAAAGCCCCTCCTGCCAACACCACTCCTTCGAACCAATTCATGGATGTCCAAATAAATGGCTGAGTGATCCGATGTCCTTGTTAACATATTGATCACCCTTGCCCCAGGCACAACACCGCACCAGTCATTCGTTGCAAGAACCTTATCTAGCTTCTCCTCTATCCATGCAGATGTACCCTTTCTTTTTTCCCATGTAAACTGATATCCCTCCATGGGCAACTGAGATAGTCCACACTGTTCAATAGTCTCCCCAAAGCTGCGAAGAAGACTATCTGGATGTGGGTTACCCCCTCTCTTCTGATACTGAAATAAAAGATCATTAAAATCACCCACCATAATCCATGGGAGAGTGGACCGTGGTGCTAATGATTTTAATAACTCCCAAGCCTCGGTACGCCTGGTTCGCTCTGGATATCCATAATAGCAAGCCATTCGCCACTTTGGAAAACTCGATATACTGACCTCCACATCAATATGATTTTTTGAGTAAATCATAAGCCTCGCTGTATT